GGGTTTCCCTCAACCATAATAAAACTAGCCTACCATATGTTATTAATTGAGAAAATCAAAACCTAATGTAGAAAGCTGCAAATAAACACCCAACAAATGCACACCTAATTAATATTATGGAAGTTTTTTTGTTTGTTTCAAAATTGGTGTCGTAATTAGTCAAGCTTTAACTATGGCATTGATTAGGGTTCATGATTATTGTATTAATTGGGAGATTTAATTATTGGGATATCTAATTGCCATGATTTTATTTTCAATAATTAAGTTTTCTTTACTAATTTTGTTTCAAATCTATAAATATAGGTTTGAGAGTTTTTGTAAGAGTGCAATTGTAGCCTTGTTTCACCACAATAGTTAAATCATCCCCTCCCCATGGATGTAGGCAATTCTTTGTCGAACCACATAAATCGCATAATTTTCATGGGTTTGGTTGTGTGACTTGTATTATTTTTTGGTGTTTATTATCACATCAATTATTATCAGACCTAGATTTTGGTGAGGTTCGGGCGGCGGCTTGAAGAACGGGAGAACAATTTATTTTTATAGTTCGTGTGGTTTGTCAAGGCGAAGGAAAAGATTCAAGATCATTTTTTCTGCATGCATGAGATTGGGTTGGAGCACTCAGGCATTATTTCACATGGCAGCATGGTCACGCCTTGGTCATGTACGTTTAGAATACTCACATGTATAGGTGTAAGGTGTAGGTGGAGGTGTAGGTGGGTGTGATGTGATTGATGACAGAGATGTGAGTTTGCAAGTTAATGACTTAATTAGTTAGATTTTATGTTCTTATGCTAAATGCACAAAAAAGATGAAATGTGAATGAGCGTTCAAAAGAAAGGATCCAAGGGGAGAGGAGAAGCTATAGATAGCATGAATCCTATTAGGTATTAGTCCTAGATTTAGGTTTGCTTTTGTGTAGCTATTTGTATAGCTGTAGGTGTTGCTTTTGTGCCTATTAATAGGCTTTAGCTTGTATTAGGAAAGCAGCCAAGGAATAAAGATTTGCATAGTTTGGCTCACCGCCTCCCCTCTCCCCTCTCCCTCCTCCTCCTCTTTCAAGATCCATGAGGAAGTGCTTCTTCCTCAAGTGAAGGGATCTCACATCTGGTATCAGTCAAATTTTGACAAACTTAAATATAGTCTAGTTGAATGTCTCAATCATATGAATTCAATGACACTAATTGTGATATAATATAACTCCAAATAAGTCAAACCAAGCATTTGAAATATGATTGAAAAAATTGTTATAATTAATAATATTTGAAGCTTGTGGGCTTATAGGAAAATAAGCATCTTGATTAGAGAAATTCAACGAGCTTAAGATCACCTAGTTTTAAGGTAATGCTTGTCTTAATTAGTATAACGTGTGGGGATTAGCAAGCTCATTTGTGCTTTAGCTACATCAGATAATTATGAGCCACCAACTTTTAAAAAAAATTGGTAGGTCATGTCCCCACTCTTTTGGAAGTATGATCTCCGCTATATATCACAAAGGAAAATGGCAGAATATGCCACAAACAATTTTATGAAGACAACTACATTGTCTCAAATGCTCCTATTGTCATCATACCATAATACCATAAATCCTCCATACTTCATATTTTTTATATTGTATAAGTATGTACTCCATTTAGAAGAAGAGTATCATTTATAACTTGTAACATACATTACTGAAATCATTTCAACTAAATAAGGCTTCTCCAAAAAAAAAAAAAAAATCTTTTTAAAATTTTCATATAAAACTTTTAGTGTCTCTTTCAAAAATTTTTTAATCTACTGATGTACTTGATGAGCTAAGTTATTGAATTTTTTTCTCTACAGCCGTTTCATGATCATGAGCATGTGAGTCATAAGCCTCCAAAAGAGTGGGGACATGACCTACCAATTTTTTTTTAAGTCGGTGGCTCATAATTATCTGATGTAGCTAAAGCACAAATGAGCTTGCTAATCCCCACACGTTATACTAATTAAGACAAGTTATTATCGCTAAAAAAACGTACGTGTGCCAGTTCCTCCTCTATCCTAACTGTGTACATACTTAGACTTTTTTTCTTTTTTGTGAGTTCGAGAACTTTGGATATAATTTCATGCATGCTTATTTTCTATTTTTACAATACGATAATTCCTACCAAAAAATCTACGAAATTATATTTTTAGTGAAAAAATATATATATTATGAGAAATGGAAATATTTTTATTCTTGCAAGTCTCTTTGATACAGGCTAATTATTAACTACTTTTAATCGTTTACATTTAATTGAGAATTAATAAAGTTGTGTATACATTTAATTTTGTAAGAAATGCTTTTATTTTTTTAGGTAAAAATATATGGATGAAATATTTGGTGAAAAAGATGCATGCATGACGAGTAGCAGACGATGCATATATTTTAACCTATTGCATTTGATTTATTTAAAAAAGAATATATATTAACAGTGACATTAATAATTGATCTATATATCCATCCACCAAATTAAATCTCATATGACACGTCACATAAGCTACAATGATCACGGGTCAATTGATGCGTTTCGCCAAAGCAAGCAAGCAGGCCTGCCAAATCACAGCATATTCATTTTATTTATTTATCTATTTATGCTATGCGATCATCTTTTGATTTGAATAAAATACTCTGTTCTCTACAGTTTAACTTTTCGTTGCATATTTTTGCATAATAACTTGAAAGGTTCACTTACTTAAAAAAATAATAATAAAACTTTCCTGTAACGTTATTATATATGACAGCTTTCTAAGAAATGTTTTTTTATATTTTTGCCTTTTATTATTGATTATTTTATTTAATTTTACACTAACCTGCAGTTTAAAATAAGGTATAATAATTATATTAATTTTTTAATATGCCTAATATTAATTGACATAATATTTTTTCATTAAATTATTATTACTCTTAGAGGACTTTAGAGAGCACAATATTTATTTATTTTATTCAACCATGCAATATAATGTAAGACAAAAGAAGACAATAATATCAAACAAAATCTCCGCACATAACTTTGTTATGCACCTTTAGCTTTTTTTTTTTTTTAAATGTATGAGAAAATATAAATCATCTTTTATATATCACATCTCTCTCTCTCTCTCTCTCAAAAAAAAAAAAAAAAAAAAAAAAAGGAAAGGTAATGCTACGTACGATTGTGCTATCTACCCACCCTTTATCTTCATTTCTGAACTTTCTCCTCAAAACCCGTCTTCTATGGAATCAAATGCCATGATAGCAAATCATTGGTGGGCCTTCCTGCCGGACCACGTCATCAATCCACGTGGCAGTGCATTGTTTCAGAAGGATGGGGCCGTCGGTGCAGTGGCTCCCATTTCCGCCAATGAAACAAGTGGCGTGTGAACTGTAAAGAAGGTTTTTTTTTTTTATGAATTTAACCTCCGTTTAATTAAGAGATAAGTAAACACATTATAAAAGGGAAGGTGTGTCCCCCACTAAGTAATGTTTATTTCTGTGGTGATTAAATAAATGTTTTTGTTCTCTTACAACTACTTTTTGTGTCGCTTCTTTTTTTTTATTATTTTTTTGGGTTACTTATGATGTAATTATTCTCTAATCATGGATGCTTACAGATAATTAAGATATCGGCCTTATGGAGTGGAATCGAAGTCAATGCATATCTATGCAAAGATCCACAACACAAGTTGCTGGAATGTCTTTCCACGTGCTAATGCGTTCAGCTGTCCAAAACTCATTGGTTCCTTCAACAAATAAAGAAATAAACCAATATAATTTACTACTAATGATAATTTTGTGCTTCTTTATTCGCGCACGGGATTACCAATTATTAATTTAGGCATTGGTACTTTCTAGTTAATATATGTATAGAATACAGTTTTAATTAAATACTTAATATACGTTTATAAAACAAATGTTTAGTACTTTTCATTAAATATTTATTGGGTATTAAAATCTTCATGATAATAGAATGGGAATTTTATGTCTAGAATTTGTGAGAAAATCCCACATACATTTTAGTTAAAAAAAAAGTTCGCACAAGACACCAAAGTTTTAATTTAAAAAAATTAGAAAGAAAGAAAAAAACTACAAGACTTAGCTAGCTCATTCTTAATTATTGCAAGCACCCAAAATTCAAACTTGTTTGATACTCCATCTGATAGTGTCATAAAGTTCCATTACATGAACGACTTGACCTGAGTAAAAAAGCACTAATTAATTTGCATTTAGAATGTTTGTTAACAAATACTAATTACTAGCTATTCGAAGTGATCGATGATATCACAAAGCCTGAATTATTAAAAAATCAAAATCAAAGCATTTTCCTTATGAGAGCTAGGTACTTAGATAGAGTTTTCATTATTAATTTGTTAACATAATCTATTTGAAGACATTAGTATTTTAATTAACTTTGATATCATTTTTTTTACAAAGCTTCTGAAAATTAAATTAAATGCGGTCAAAAAAATCAACTTTATAATAATTTTACATTACATATATTGAACAAAAATATTCATTAAAATTTGAAAAAAAAATAGAGATAATTATCATATTAAAAAGAAAAAAATGAACTAAATTATCTTAGTCTAATGACCTGTCACAATGAGATTTTAAAAATAATATTTCATATATATTCTCAAAGAGAGTAAAAATATATAAGAAATAGCATAGAATATCTACACAAAAATATAATCTTAATATTTTATTATTTTATCATCAATTTTACAAAAAAATTATTTTAATAAATTTATAATTTACCTTAAGAAGAATTATATTTATTAAATAAATATTTCTATTTCATACTATATGATAAATTAGTCTATTGATTTTATATTTATATTTATTATGAATTAAATTATATGATTTTAATTTGTCAATTTTTGAAGTCAGTCTTGTCATCCTGATGTAATTATTTTTTCCGTGTTTAAAATCACAAGGACAATTAATAGAGAGAATGTGTGGAGATATACACTGAACATTTTTTTCCTCAATGGAAAGGAGTTTTTTTTATTTTTCTAAACAATAATTCACTCTCTTGATGTGTTACAAGACACCAAAGCCATAGATCCTATTTTAAGTTCCTACCTCATTAGTCCTTCTTCAGTCCTAGGAAGCCGGTCTTCTCTTTAATTTGTCAACCTTGGCAACCTCATCCATGTTATTCAGGTATATATTCCCAACCTTCACCCTTACTCATTCCCCCTTCCTCATTCCTTCCCTTTCTTTTCTCAATAATATATCAGCCATACTTCTTTTCTTTGCTTCTCTTCCTCTCTTCTCCCTCCAACCAAGAAATATATCAAGAAGGCTACTGATTGAAATTAAGATCATAAGCCAAAGCAATTATTTATCATGGAGAAGGAGGATAGTTGTGACACAGGCCTTTCTCTTGGACTGGGTTTGCCTGCTAACCTCCGTCGGCGACAACCGAAGCCTCCGCCACCTCCGCTAGAGCCATCTCTCACCCTTAGTCTCTCCGAAGAAATCTATGGCTCCACGACGACGCCCAAGGAGGCTAGGCTATCGTCTCCCCATAGCACGATTTCTTCTTTCTCAACTACTAATTACATCAAGAAGGAGAAACTGGATGTTGGTGGTGAGGAGACAGAGGTCGAGAGAGGCTCTTCCTTATTGCGTTCGAGGGAAGAGGATGACGAAGCCGCCGCAAGGAAGAAGCTGAGGCTCACCAAGGAGCAGTCTGCCCTTTTGGAGGACAGGTTCAAGGAGCATAGCACTCTTAATCCTGTAAATCTCTTTTCTTCATATATTTGATTTTTTTCTACTTACATAATTGAAAGAAACACCAGATGATCTGCATATGATGATTATAAATCTCATGTTACCTAATTCTCAATATATTTCTTCTACTTTGTGTTATATGTGATTATCAGAAACAGAAGCAAACGCTGGCCAAGCAATTGAATCTAAGAGCAAGGCAGATTGAAGTTTGGTTTCAGAACAGAAGAGCAAGGTATCAATTAATTAATCTCCTTATCCACCTCCTACCATAATTAATTCATTTAATAGAGTTTGGTTTGCTTATTCTGCACAAATAATAATCATGTTAGGCCAAAGACTTCAATATCGGGGACAACCCAAGCCTAATTAATATATAATTAGTAGATAAACACACCAAAATTGCCCATTGCTAACAAATAGATTAATTAAGCAAGATATGTGATAATCAAACTATGTATAAATTAAACTCTTAATTAATTATATAAATCTAATTAACAAATGAATCAACATCTTGATCTTCTTGATCAATAATATTTATTGTATCGCAGGACCAAGTTAAAGCAGACAGAGGTGGACTGTGAGTTCCTGAGAAGGTGCTGTGAAACCCTTACAGAGGAGAACAGAAGGCTACAGAAGGAGCTTCAAGAGCTAAGGGCCATCAAGTTCTCAGCTCCCCCGCCGCCTCTTTTCATGCAGCTTCCGGCCGCCACCCTCATGGTTTGCCCGTCATGTGAGAGGATCGCCGGAGCGGGCGTTGGAGCAGCCAACAAGGCAGATGGCAAAGATATCAGCGGCGGCTCGTTCATGAAGCCCACGCAACATTTATTTAATCCCTTTGCTCACTCTGCTACTTGTTAGCTTTAATTGGCGAGTTCTGAAGCAGCTTGAATTGAAGAAACAGAACCCACGGGTCTTTGTTATTTGTTTTCATAACTAAAGTTTGGGAGCTGAATAATTAGCTTAGAAGAAGAAGGAAAATATAGTAGATTTGCTCTGCTGTTGTTTCGATTAGTGGTAGTTTCAAGCCAGCCTCTGCCATATGTGTTAGTTTGATCAGTACTTTGTAAAAAGGAAGAAAAAACTGTACTTCTCAATCATTATTTATGCAGATAGGTGCTTCAAACTAATGTACAGAAAGCAAGAATAATAGTATTGCTTTCTTATTATTGATACAGACAGGTAGACATGCACTTGATTAATTTCTCTCCTTATGTACAAAAGAATCATATATGCTACCCATGCTTGATTGTTACCCTTTTTAACTTCTGAAGAATGAAATTTTCTTTTTATGACAATCAAGAGGTCTATAATATATTTTCAACTTCTTTAATTTTCATTACTATATATATATGCCATATAAAAGATATAGAAAAATTTTATCAAGACTCATGCATTCAAATCAACAAATTTAACAATATTAAAAAAAATGATGATGTTGCCCTCCAACGCCTTCTACATCATGCATGATGCTATGGCACATAATATATCACATAAAGAATATTTCAATCATGGAGTTTAATTAGTACCTTTTAAAGAAGTAATTATTTTATAAAGTAGTTTTTTAGTACAAAAATTTTTTGAACTAAAATTTTTTTGTAGTAAAAAATTACTTTAAAAAACAATAAGAAAATGTCATAAATTAAGCCTCAATCAAAGATTAGGGAGGAAATCATGATTATGATTGGAATTAAATTTCAACTAATTTCGGTGCATAATTGTTCTCCCTTAAATCATTGCATGTTCAACATACACATATTTAATTATATGACTTGTTATATATATAAAAGAAGAGTTTGTTAATAAATTAAGAAGGAGGCTATGAATCAACGTCATATATTCTATGATACAATTAGGATATTGTTAAAAAAATGTTCAATTAATTAGGTGAGTGGATGTGAGAAGAGTCAATATTTACTCTTATTAAATATTTATTGATGCCATGATGGTACCTCCACTTTCCATGCTGCTTCCTTCATGTCTACATATATGATGACATGAGGGACATGCATGCAATATGCGTGAATGCAAGATATGCTTGGAATGGAGCCTATTAAAAATCATAGTCTTTCTGTGATAGATATAAATACCACTTAAAAATAAAATAAAATAAAATTCAATTCATTGAACAAATAATTAATTAGCATACATCGATCATGTCCTTTTAATTACGGTCCTATGTGGAGAAATGATGGGAGGTGATCACGTGAAGTTGTCTAAGGATTGAGGAAGGGAAGTGGAGAGAAAAGTCTTATAAAGAAACAAAGGAGCATAAAGCGTGTGGGGCAAGAAAAGAATGAAAAAGGCTTTCAGACGGCCCAGGAGAAAATATAGGAGGTTCATGAGGACGAGGGGCCCTCCATATACAAAATTTGCATGGTTGATTTCAGACTATTCAAATCATCATGTCTATTCTTAAGTTTTTAATTTAAACAATGATCAGAATAACATTCATGAAAACTAATATAGAAAATATATTTAAATTAACAATTAATTTGAACATGTACACACATATATAGATATAGTACTATATATATATATAATATTAGAGGTTATCTATTAATTAATTCATCTTAAAAAGAATAAAAGTGAAGAAATAAATTCATCTTAAAAAGAATAAAAGTGAAGAAATAGATAAAATATAATTAGTTTTCTTATTCCATGATTGGGATAATGTATGAAACTATTAGTAAAAGAAAAAGAGTAACATATAAATTGTTTAAAACATAATTTATGTATAATGAGTGTATCTCCAATTAATGTGAATATTATAAAATTCACTATAAATAATTAAAAAAATGCTAAATACATTAAAAATAGTTTACTCTGATCATTTGTAGATTTAAATTTTAACTTTGATATATCCTCAAAAAATTATCTTGATCAGCACGAATCTAGAGGCAAATCGACCTGGAAACTTCAAAAATTAAATCCGGGATCACTTGAAATTCGATATCAGCGAACTTTTTTTTTAAACAGAACTTTTATTAAAAAAAGAAAGAGGTTACAAGAGGCTGAAAACAAAGTACAAGCAATAAAAGGAAATACAATAAAACAGAAAAATTAGGCTCAGTAATTGGCAGAGGCTTCCAGCTCCCCCGAAGCCACGCACCGACCCTCCAATTTGGTGATGAACGCCGCGATAAAACCATAACAGCCAACCAGCCAATGCAGCAAAAAATAAACACCAAAGGTTGCCAGGAGGCATGAGAACAAGGAAGCGAGCCCCGACCACATCATCGCCTGTCACAACCATAACCAACAAAAAACTCGGACGAATCAGCTTAAAATAAACTATCCACAGAGCAAAACAAGGAGCCAAATAAACTAACGACCACGTCTTCCCCTCCCATGAGGTCTGCCACGAGAACCGACAAAAACCGGACGGTCACGAACCATTTTGAAATCATGTCTGGGATCCGAACCTCGACAATGATCCAAAGAGGAATCAGACTCAGCTTACGACAAATAGTGAAGCCAATCGAGATGAAACCGCACATCCATCCCAGAACTATCACCCACATGATAAACCATAGCATTTGTTTCTATAATTTCACAGGCACATCCACAAAAGAGTTAGGAATAACAAATCCAGCACCTGAATTAATCTCACTTCTAACAACCTCACCACCCAAAACAGCCTCAGAAGACCACACCTCAATATCAGGTAAGGAAGAAACAACAGAGTTCAAAACACTGTGCATGACATCAGAGACATGAGCCCCACCCCTCACATCGACAGAAGCAGGGACACGATCGGAGGGGGAGCCAGCACTAACCAAATTAAAATCAGCCGTCGAATTAACATTCGCAGAAGCAGGTTTGACTACAACAAAATCGAATCCATTCTCCACACCAACATTTTCAACATAACAAACAGGTAAATCAGATAAAGCTCCAGTATCCGAAATACCACAGGCTAAACCAAAGTCCAAAATAACATTGTTAACCCCTAAACTATTATCAGCACCCCTAAGAATAGGATCAACATTACCCGAATTAAAAGCAAAACCAGACTCCACCATACCAACTGGAGAAACAACACACCCAGCAACCTGGCCAGCGTCAACACAGATCAGAATAGAAGAGTGATCGATTAAAGCTAAAGGAGAAAAGTTGACAACGTCGGGGTCAGAAGCAGGTGTCACCGGCAGAGGAGCTGATTCCACAACCAGTCGTAAATGAGGAAATAATTTAATACAATCCGACTTTTTATGACCCGCGGCTTTACAATGCATACAAAAATTAGGCATTTCTTCAAAAATAACTCTCTGAATATACCCCAGATTATCCGGCCCCAGCCAAACAGAGTCCGGGAAAGATTTGGAGATGTCAATTTCTACAAGAATACGAGCGACTGAAGGATGTGAACCAACGGCCGTAGCATTATCGGTGTGAATCGGGCGGCCAAAAAAGAGAACCCAAACCAAAAAGAATTCTAGGAGAGAATAGGTGGGGACGAAGCCCCGGAAAAGAAATCCACACTGGGACAATCGGCAACTCCTCCGACAGGTAAAGTAGAGGCGACCACTTGATAACTTTCATAAAATAACCAAAAACGAAATAGGATCGATGCATAAAAACCCTCCCATAGTCAAGATCATTAGAAAGCTTGATCAGGACATTCGACTAATCCAACAAAGTAACAGAGAAATCCCCCGATAATTTAAGATTGAAAAAGAACATACGAATCGAATCCAAAGCCGGCCGTTTAAGATGAAACTTTCCCACTAAAGCAAACTCAAAAGGTTTCGCAAGATGCAAGAACTCCTCCTCCGAAAACCACAAAGCTGGAAAACCCCGAATCGTAGACACACGAAAATCAGAAAAAACCTTAGATGCATCAGAACCAGACAACACATCTTTGAAGGATTTGGAATGCTTACCCTCAAGAAAGCCAGGGTCTAACCTTTTACTCGCCATAAGAAAAGGGGAGCGAGAGAGAGACGGTGCCGGAGAGGAAGGCGGCTAGGGCAAAAGCCCTAACCGAGCGGAAAAAAACCCTTGCAAACGAAGGCTGCACATTAATTCGACTCAACCAAACTGAGCGTCTCAGAAATATGAACTCAACGACACCTAATTCGACTCAATCCAAGCCCAAATGAGTCCCAATCAAGCACCCGAAGCACTGTTTAAAAGTTCAAACCATAATTTGAGTTACCAAACAATTTCCAAATATGACGTTCTTATAGTCGAATCGAGCGGCATGACGAGACAAATCCAACAAGCCCAAGATAGCTGAATTCCAACATTATTAAGACATTCAAATATTTGACGAACGGTGAATAATCAAGGGATTCAATATCGACCGTCCATTCGACCACTCCTTATTATCCCTGATCTCACACCTATTTACAAGCTATGCCACCCTAGAATATCTATAAATAGACCCCTCATTTTTCATGAGAGAGGACAAAAAAGCAAGAATAGAAGAAGAACCAAGAAGCAAGAGAAGAAGAAGAGAAGGATAGGAGGGAAGAAACTCCTCCTCGACCACCGCCGGAGTTTCACCTGACGCTGAAACTCCACCAAAGTGACGCCGGAATTCCGCCTGACCTCCAAGTGAAGCCGGAATTCCGCCCGACCTCCATGTGACGCCAGAGTTTCACCCAAACTCCAAGTGACGCCGGAGTTCTGCCCGAATATCATCAAACGCCGGAGTTCTTCTCAGCCTCCATATGACGTTGGACTTCTACCCGATGCTGGACCTTCGCTCGTCTCCAAGTTTCTACCCGATGCCGGACTTCTGCCTGTTGTCAGACTTTTGCGAGATAATTATTCGATGTTGGATTTATGTCGATTAGTGGATGTCTACCGAACATCATCCTTCTTACCTTCGTAGTCAGACAATGGTCTTGTTGATTTATGTCACCCGCTGACTACAATCCTTCCGACCTCCGTCACCCAGCGACAACGGTCCTTCCGACCTCCATCACCCGACAACTATGGTCCTTCTGACTTACGTCGCCCGCCGACTACCGTCCTTCTGACTTACGTTGCCCGCCGACTACCGTCCTTCTGACTTACATCACCCACCGACTACAGTCCATCCGACCTCCGTCGCCCGCCGACTACGGTCTTTCTGACTTGTGTCGCCCACCGACTACAGTCCTTATGGCCTTTGTCACCCACCGACTACGTACGGCCATTCTGACTTATGTCGCCCACCGACTATAGTCCTTCAGACCAAACAAACACATCAGTAGTGATTCTTTGTATTCTCATCATGTAATGTATTGTATAAGATGTACATCAAGCTAAGGGCTTCCCCCAAAGAAGGGCCTCATTTGTAATCAAC